TGACGCATTCACATACATTATTAATACAAATACATTTTCCAGGGCGAGACGATGAAGCAACCACAAGCACTTCCACTGGTTCAAGAGGTCCACGAGGGAAAAATGCACAATATTACCGTTATTACAGAGCACGGAAGTTAGCGGAGCAGGAAAAAGAGTCGTTGAATAGAACTAGTGATCCTTCTACGACTGCTGACTCTTCTACAATTAACGTCGCAAGTTGCGAAGTTTAACTTCTTCCACGCGGAGGGACTCCACGCACTATTTTTTTAATATTTTACTGTTCTTTGAAATCCACTTTTGATAATATTTGCATTATTACTATTAGCTTTGAAGTCTGTGAAGTAATTATAAAAAATTTGTTATATTATATATTAACTCATATTATATTATATTAATTAATATACTTATATTACATTATTGGTTCATATTTGCCCCAGCATTGTAATCAATATTTTTTGCTATGAGCTATTTTATTCTATTAATGCCATTTTTCATAATTTCTAGAGTTAGTAAGATTATTGTTCCCTAATTGTTTTTAAGTAGACTCTTTTTCATTTTTTGTAGGGGAAAAGATTGAGACAAAAAAAAATCAAAGAACTGATCAGTCTTCCTATGATTACTAAAAGAGAAACAAGGATTCATAAGAGAGTAATTTATTCAAATTTTATAATTAATTTTAATTTGTATGTTGAGTTTTTTCAAAATATCAATTTATTTATCAAATTATTATTTTTAGTTTTTCATCTTAGCTTATTTAATGAATATTGATGGTTTATAGTATTGATGGTTAAAGATATATTTCATGAGGTAATACAGTTTTAGCAAACTGATATCAATCTAAATGATAATCCTCTTTAAAACAAGTGTTTATTTAAATATTACCTTCCTAACAAACATTGGATAACTATTTTAACTAATTAACCAATATATAATTGTTAGAATTTTATTCGAATAATTTTGATTAAAATCTTATTTTAGTACCAATGGAAGTTAATACTTAATTTAGTATTAATTTCGATTAATTTTAAGATTGAGATTTCATTCCCATAAAATTACTTAAATATTACTCAAATATTGAACTTTAAAAATTTTATTAATCGTTAAAATAAGTAGACGCATTTCATTATATTTGCGTTCTATAATTGTACGTATTTGTATAATCAATTTAAGATTTTTTTGTATACATAAATATTTTATTGTTCTTTTTCATAGAAATATCTGAATATCCTCACAAACGTTTTGACATTTTCTTAATTTTTTTTCTCAAACTAAGCATTTATTAACATTTTGGAATTTAATTATATTTGAAATTTTAAATAAAGTTTTGTTTTGAAAGAATATTATTGATATGCTCAACGACAAATTATTTGACAAATAACATAATAGCCAAAAAAATTATAATTTTGAACTGAATCTAAGAAGGAATTTGTAAATATACATTGAAAACAAGATTTTTGTGTTAACATATTTTTATTTTAGAAAAGTTATTCAATTTTTTTTAAAAAAAAAAGGTTTGATCATTTGTGTATGTAGTTTTTTTTTATGTCTGCTTGTTCAGATTATTATTACTTCCAAACATATTGTTTAGCACAATATGCTTCACAAATATGTATTTAGTTCATGCTATGAATCACCAAATAAATTAAATCATTGTAGGATACTTATGAAAAATAAGTAGTGTATTCCTATATCTCTGATTAGTAATTGTATAAACAAATTTTGTTAAAAAAATTCATCTTTAATTGCTTGTTAAAAACTACTTATCAGCATGATTTGTAAAATTTATTCATATTTAAAATGTAAACTTTTACATTTCCTAGAATTGTAGTTTTTAAAGGAAAAATTGGTCTACAAAATTATTATTATTCTGTGCTTATCTAAATTTGTGTTATATTATTTTTTTGCTTGTTTCAGACTATGAGTCATGGCAAGAAGTTTAATTGATGTATATGTTAAAAAGAACTTTAAAAGGGCACATCGGTTGAAATAAAGGAACCGTAAGTATATTTTTATTTTTTAGCTTTTTTTTGATTGAGATTAGAGTATTATTGCCTAAATATAATTTGTTCAAGTAACCTTGTGGTTTTTATGCTCATAATATTTATTTTAATTGTAGATTGTGGTATTCTTTATAATTTAATGTTAGTTTCTATAGGGTTGCTTGTAACGAACATTAATGGAACACAATATTTGCTCCTTTTAAACAGAGTGTTTGTAAGAAACGTTTTCATGAAAAAAATTATGCATACTTATTAAGTTACAGGTCGGAGTTGCCACTCCACAGGGAGAAAATGGAAAATCTGTAAAATAAAGTAAATTTAAAAATCACCAAAAATAACGGGGGAAAGCAGGGAATTTTGAGTTTTACCTTACAAACTGAAAAAATGCAAGAAACTTATCTCTTGTTTCTGTTTTTTAAAAAGTGTTGACCAATCAAGAGACGCACTAAGAGATTTTTAAGGCACATATTTCTGCTATACCAAACTATTTCCTTTACTGTATCATTATTTGTTTATATTATGTGTTAAGCT